CGACAAACGCCTCCCGCGCCCCGCGGGGCAGCACCCCTCGCCAGTTTGGGGTTCGGTAACTGTCACAAGAAATGAGCATATGGTGAGTGCTCCGGTGCCCTACGTAAAGTCATCTCATCCTCCCAGCCGCACGAGGCACGTAAAGCGAGGGTTATTTGCTTTATATAGAAAACAGTTTGCCCAAGAGCACACGGTGAAGGCCCCGGGGACGGCGGGGCTCAAACGTCGGTCCCGCTGCCTCGCAGGTCAGAGTGCCACAGAGCTCATAGGCCCCTAATGAATATCCCAGTCGTGTTCCCTAATCTTACAGAAGCACAGATCATTCTGGGTTCGTTGGAAATAGTTTTAGGGTACTAGACCAGGACCCAGCCTGAGAGAACAACTGGATGCCCCGAGGTGGATTTTCTGTAGGAAGGGCAGCGAACCGGGGAAGGGCATGGGAACCGGAAAAAGCTCTTTTTCATATGGTTTCAGAGAGAACATGCAACAATGGCAGGCAAATCTCGTACATAACTGGTCCAGTATAGAGTTTGAATTAAGTCTACAGATTTTCACATAACAGCTCTTAAGGAAATTTTAATAGTTATTTTTTAATATCCAGAAGCTCTGAAGACACCAGTCACATCAAATCACACTCTATAACTCTACACCAGGCATGTGGCATGGTTTCTGTAGCTGCCAGCCATAAAACCAAGAGAAACTTGACAAAAACCTTTTGTGCATCTGAAAAGGAGGAAGTGTGAGAGACACGAAATTCAGTATGTCAGACAAAGCAGTCTCCTGACAAAGCTGCAGGACAGTGGACCAGTCAAACAATCTTTTTCAAGCTCCCATGTAAGAATTTGCTATATGACATGGCAGCTTGGGTCAGACGTTATGTATGGCCTTTGGTATTTTAGTAGCATTGCCTGTGAAATTTAGCTGTCCGAAATAGCTGCATTAGTGGATAGCTTTTATTACTGCACCAGGCAATAAGTTACAGATTTTAAAACCATAGCATCTCTGCTTCTTTTACGTGTTTTTACTCTTCCAGTGTCTTTGGTGGGTTTCCTCTATAGGCAACTTTGTACAATCCAAATCCTGTCCATGTTTATATTAATACATCCTCCCCTACACCAGGCCGACTCTGTTTTCCTCCCAGCTAGTTTTACAGCTACAGCTTTTGTTGTTGACACTGGAGAATATTCTGGATAATTTTTCAAGTCTTGACTCTTAGAGGGCTAGTATCTAGCAGGCCCTGAGGATTTAAGACGAGGAAGTCGTTTTTTTCCTTGGCATCTAGGACAGCATTAGCCAGACTGATCAAGATTTCTTTTACAGGGACAAAGTTGAGCATGGTGTTCTTCTCCACTGTCTCTTCATAGGCAACTCCTGTTCTTGTTTCCTGTAGTTTAATATAACTTTTCAGGTATCTTTACAGGAACTTCTAGTAGCCACAGAAATAAAATTGCAAAGCTGCAATGTATTTTGCAAGGAGGGCTGGTGGGAAGCAAGTCATTGCCAAGTCCACTGGTATTGCAAAGAGGACACATGTGACAGAACGTGAAAGCAATGTACTCTCACGGACACCCCTGAAAATCACAGAAAACCTCGCTCCATGCAAAAGCGGGGAATTAAAGCAAGATCAGAGCAGGACACAGCTAATGTGTCTCTGAAATTAATATAATGAGAATGAGTAGTTTCCAACAAAGAATAAAATTAAAGTTGAACGTGGCTCAAGAAGACATTACACACACACACACACACACACACATTTTTTTAATGCATTAAGGGAAGAACTTACTGATAACATCATTAAAGGCCTGTACTCCCTTATCAAGAACTTTCACATCTAAGTAGCACTGAAAACCTAAAATTTTGAAAATAAGTCTCAGTCATAAAATTGACCTGAAATGAACTGACATGAAGCTATTTTATAGTCTTGTTTATCCCACTTCATATGAATATTCATGTTTTGCTACAAAATATAAATGTGCTTGATTATGGAGTATTGCCCCAGACCCTACTGGGGTTGACTCAGAATATCCAGTGTATGTGCTGTATTACCATTCTAAAATCTGAAAAGCTCTAAATTCCACACACATCTGGCCCCAGGAATTTCAGATAAGAGGTTGTAGGCTTGTATTACTTAAAAATAAAAAAATTAAAAAAGGAAGAAAAAAGAAATGTGGTGTTGCAGACTTGTCATTTCCAGGGAAGAGGAAAGAAACTCTCCTCTCAAAAATGACATTTTCAGCGGCTCACTGAGTCTGGCCATCAGCCCATTTTCCAAAGGAATTTTCTGCCTCCAGTAGTTCTCAAGAACCTGGGGATTTTTCACTCCCAGGTCAAGGTATAAAATATGTTCTTAACTCTGAAATGTGCTTGAGGGTTGGCTGGTTTAGCACAAGACTTATCCAGTTCACTTGCTATTAATTTGTGAACAATTACTCTTAGAATGATAGATCTATGCCTTAAAAGAATTGTGGTAAAATGTGTAATGAAATAAGGGGGAGGGGGACCCACAAAAACCCTAGTGATATAACATGTAAGTATAACCAGAAGTTTCTTTTCTACAGTTTAATGACATTCTCCCCAAAACAGTGTTACTAAAGGGACGCACTTATCCCAAAGTGAGAGAAGTTTGGATACATTTACCACAATGATCTCACCTTGCACTTGAGGGGGAAAAAAATATCACACAGAAACTACTTTACAAATGAAAACTTAGGTTTTGATATCAGCTTTGCTTCTCTGTGACTTGGATAAGTAAATTAACCTCTCTGGACTCAGTTCATTTGTAAAATGAGAGAAGCTGGACTAGCGAATTTTGAATCCCCCTGATTCCATGATCCATGTTTTATGTTAGTTTGGGCACAAAAGGAAAATGCCACGAGGGCCATATTATTACTGAGAATCTAATCATTGGTCCCAGACATGTGAGAATGAGCATGTTTTAGAGGCTGTTTAAAGCTAATTTTTGAGAATGTTGTCACTTTATTAAGCTGGTAATTTTAGATGACAAACTGATTTATTCATAGCTGACTTCACATTAGGATAGATACTTGAGGTCTGTTCATTTTTTTGTTTTAACAAAGCAATTTCTCTGGGTAACACTCTTGATTGCTGAACTGCAAGAGGCAGTTCTAGAAAAATGAGGCATAATCTGCTCTATGCTGGAGCCGGCTAGAGCTGATTCCAGGGAACGACAGTTAGGTTTTCAGACACTTGGCAAACTGCTGATTGCACCCGTATAGTAGAAACACTATTCTAACGGTGTGCTACTATACATCTCTTCCCAATTCCACATTCTGGCAGCTTGAAATTGTCCATGGTGGGAGTATTTACAAAGGCTAAAAACCAAGGTTTTATTTATTGTTGTGTTGATCGTCTAAACTTAATAAAGTGGTAGGAGAATGTTAATAACACAGATTAAAAGCGTGTCATGTCTGTAACCTTTACGTTGTGAACAGTGAAAATATCTGAGGTCATGTTCTTCTAGTATTTGCAAACTGTGATACGATTCAGCAAAGAGGTTGCTCATGTCATTGACAGGTGAGTGAAGCTACAGCGTATATCTTTATGGCTTCACTTTTGTCTTATTTATTAACATGGACAGAAATATCAACCAACATTCATGTTGGAACTACACTCATTTGTCAATGACATGAGCAAGTTCTTCGCTGAACTGGATAATAATCAAGCATTTATTCGTAGTCTTATTTTGTCATATCATGGTTGAGTTGCAAACACTGATTGGCCATGAATACAAGAGTTCAGCAAAAAGAAATGAAAGCATTCTGTGAGAATTAATTAGCTGTATGGAATTTATCATAACGAATATTGTATAATTTGGTATTATTTATAAATTGGGTACTGTATATCCCTTATGTCAATGAAAGTTAAAATAAATGTATGTATACACACCTCCCCCCCGCCCCCCCCCCGCAGGTTGTTAAACATTTACCAGCCCACTACTGAGTATAATTGTATCTTCCCTGCCAGGAGGCAGAGCATTAGACCTTCCCACTCTGAGTCATGCTGATGGAATAAAGCCTGAGTGGGACAAAAATCTCAATAAATTGGACTGTACATGCAAAGGCAACTTGTGTTAATAAAAATTATCTTAGGGTAATTAAGAAAATGCCATTTGTTGTTTTCAAGTACGTGGAACAACACAATTAAGTGCCAACAGAGGGTGTGGTCTGTTTTAATGAAAAAGCGAAGAAAGTTTAATTAGCACTCTGTATGC